GTTGTGTTGATCTCCCTGTAGAAAGTTTGTTAGATCATGGCCTTGGTCATATCATTATTCGGGCACTCTTTAACCATGATACGACATCTTTCCCAAATCTCGTGCAATGGCTTATTGGGTTCTTGCTTGAACGCAAGAATCTCATCCCGAAGTGTAGCCATATATCCCGGAGAGAAGAATTTGGCAATGAATTTTTACGCCAACTCATCCTATGTATGGATGGAATGATTGGGCAATCTCTCTAACCAGTCCAATGCCTTTCCCCGTAAAGAAAAGGAAAATAGCCTCAACCGTAGCGCATCCTCGGAACATTGGTTTGCTTGCTCCCCCAACGAGTATCGATGAATCCTTTGAGATGCTTGTAAGCATTTTCACTCGGAGCTCCGGTGAAGAATCCCTATTGCTCATGTAGTGTAAGCATCACATTGGTGATTTGGAAGTTTCCCGCCCTAATGCGGGGAGGGACTATAGCACTTGCATAACCCTCGTCCGGCAATACCCAGTGCGTTGCCGCTCTTGGTGGAGGTGGGGGAGGGACGGGAACATTATCATGAGGCGGTCGGCCTCACCTATTTGGTTGAAGTTTGGGAAGAACCTCATCTCCTCGATCATCGTCCACCTTCCCCCCCTCCCCTCCAATGGCACATTGCCGATGGGCTCGTTGTTGAGAGCCATTCTCGTACCTATAATCAATTCAAAAAGAAAGTTAGTGACTCGGAAGGAAAAGAGGACAAATCACACAAAAACCTAGATATATAGCAGAATATGTTTAATTCCCCGGCAACGGCGCCAAAAATTGATGTCGCCCAAACTCACACCACAAATATAGGTTGTGAGGCGGTCGAAGAAATAGTAAAAACCCAACGCAAGTCGGGGTCAAATCCATAGGGAGTTAGATATTGGATTAGGTATACATCTAGTGTGACTGTATGATGTGCCTAAGATTGCACTTCCACATATTTGGTTGTTTATTTCTACTTCTAATGACTGCTAATGTTTGAAATTGAAAAGGTAGAGAACGATATTTTTGGTATTGTTATTTTTTAAGTTGATTAAAGATCCAGGGTCGTGACTTCCACCTAGGTGGTTACCTAACGGGTTGTAAACTCTAGGGCAAGTCTGATTGGTCGGGGTTGTAATATAGCAATCACACGTAATTACCCACTCAATACCTCTCGGTAGTTTGAGTGATTTTGCCTAATTTGGCTTTCTCAAGTCCAAATGGGTATTGCACAAAACAAGTGATAAATGCTCGAGTCGGGTCTTACTATCTCTAGATTCAACCCTTTAATTGGGGCTATCAATTTCTTGAGTTCACCCCAATTCCTTGTTAGCCAAGTTTTTCTAGACTTAGTCTCTCTTTCTCAAGTAGAGACTAAGTCAATTAGGCATGAATCAATATTTGCAACCATTAATTCTCAAATTCAAGCAAGAACTAGGCTAAATATCACTAACCCAATCACAAACAATCCCTAAATCAAATACCCATTAAGTACCCATACTAGGGTTGGGTCAGAACCCTAGCTAGAAATTTAGCTACTTATGAAAAATGAAGAAATTAAAGAAGAAACTAAGATAAAATCCATAATAGATAACTATGGGACGAAAATATAATGTTTAAAAGCTAATCTAATACAATGTTAACCAATACAGTAAATAAAAACGGCTCAAGTGCTCCCAACTTACAAAACATGACCTAAAAATGGCAAAAGTTCTATTTATACTAAGCTGAAAATATCTGACAAAATTGCCCATACGGAGGTTGTGCGGCCATACAATTATGTGTGCGGTCCGCACATTAAGACTTGGCTTGACAGGTTCCAATTCTGCGGCCGCACAATTCTGGGCTACGACCGCACTCCTTCAACTTCTGCGGACCGCACATTTATGTTGCAGTCACACTCTTATTTTTGCGGCGGCACAATTCGGTCCGCACTTTTTGACCTTGGGCTTTGGCACTATGGGACTTCTGTGGACCGCACCTTTCTTCGTGCGGCTGCGCTCTCGATTATGTGGCCGCACAAAAATGGTGCGGTCCATATTTCTTCTTGACCTTAAAATCCCATCCTCTGAACTTTATCTTCTACGGCCGCACCAGAATTGTGCGGTCCGCACTTTGTAAATTATTTCTTGTCAGATGCTTTCTTCATGATCTGCAGTCGCACTCAACATTGTGCGGTCCGCACAGCGCCCTTTTAGCCTTGTTTTGGTCATTGTCCAAAATTACTCCTTCTTGAGTTAATTTTCAGCTCTTTAGCTCAGATTCCAACATTTCTGCAAGTAAACACATTTCATTAGTTTTTGGGAATACCTTTAAGCAGTTTTGGTTTAAAACAAAAGTAAAAGAGCGCAAATAAGTAGTCAAAATCCCTACTTATTACCTCCCAAGGCCAGCATCTTGGGTATCTCCCCCTCGACCGTCATCAGGTATAGTATCATCATCGTCAACTGGAATGGGTGCGGCGGAGGCATGTGAGGAAGAGGGCTCTGAGCCTTGGCTGTCATCTTCCGAACCCTCAGAAGAGCTAGCTGAGGAGGAAGGCTCATCTCTAAGCTGGAATCTACCCGGAAACTGCCTTGGCTGTGATTGTGCATCGGGTTGTTCTTGCACAGAATTTCCCTCTAAGGCTTCCCTAGACGGGACATATTCACTAGACTCTGCACGCTCCGGGGCTCTCCCGGCTGTTGCTTTCTTTGCTATTGCTCTTTGCACAGAGAGTGGCATGTTACCCCTGCCTCGGCCCCGGGAGGGTTCACCCCTCCCTTTTGCTGTATCACCTCTTCTACGGGATCTAAACCTTGTCTGCAATACATAGCAACATGATTCAGTTAAGTGCAATACACAGTTTCAGACAGTTGCAGGAAAAACCAGATGCAGGTAAAGAAGTGTGGACCACATATTTTTGAGTGTGGCCGCAGATGGGAATGTGTGGACCGCACAATTTTGAAGTGCGGATTGCACAAAAATTGATCTCGTCCAAGTCACACCTCTATTCGAGGATATGAAACAGTCGACTGCAATAATAATACCCAACTAGGAGTCGGGATCGTATCCATAGGGAGCTATATGAATGGGATTAGTGATATATATTTGGACTAAGCACATGAAGTATCTCAATTGCATTTCTACAAATATGGTTGTGTTTTACTTCTAAAATTACGCTAAGAATTATAATTCTAAAAATATGAAACTAGGAAATATTATTTTTGGTTGTTTTTCATATATTGTAAAAGGCCTAGGGCTATGACTTTCACCTAGGTGTTTGCCTAACGGGTTATAAACTTTAAAGCTTGTTTTGTTGGTCGGGGTGCATTATAGATATCAACACTCAATTACCCATTCAATACCTCTCAGTAAGAGAGTGATTTTGCCCAATTTGGCTTTCTCAAGTCCAAATGGGTATTGAACAAAATAGTTGATAAAATGCTCAAGTCTGGTTTTACTATCTCTAGGTTCAACCCTTTAATTGGGACTTTTAATCTCTTGATTTCATCCCAAATTCTTGTTAGCCAAGTTTTCCTTGACTAAGTCTCTCTTTCTCAACTAGAGACCAAGTCAAATAGGCATGAACTAATGTTTGCAACCATTAATTCTACAATATAAAGCAAGAACAAGGCTAAATAATCAACACCCAACCATAAACAAGCCATAAATTAAACACCGATTAGGTTACACACTAGGATTGGGTCACAACCCTAAATAAAAATCTAGCTATTCATAATAGGTATGGAAGAAAATAGAGAAGAAAAGATGATAAAACACATATTCAAAGATTAAAAGATGAAATTCCAATGTTAAATCACTAAAGTAAGCTAATATTCAAAACTTGACCTAATTTCATGAAAGAAGTCTATTTATACATATCTGAAATTTTCGGACAAAATTGTCCTTTCAGAGGTTCTGCAGCCGCACAATTCTGTGTGCGGTCCGCACATTTCTTTAGCTCTTCACAGGAGTGGATTCTGCGGCCACACAATTCTGGATTGCGGCTGCATCTCTTGAGTTCTGCAGTCTGCATAATATTGGGTGCGACTGCACATTTGATTTATGTGACCGCGCAATTATAGTACGGCGCACAGTTCTTTTGGGGCTTGAATTCGGAACTCTCTAAACTTTGGCTTCTGCGGCTGCACAATTATTGTGCGGTCCGCACTTTACACTGAAGCTCTGTTGATTATTCTTGAGTTGGATTTCATCGTAATGGCTCATTTTCTAATACTCTTGCAAGTAAGCTTATTTCATCAGTTTTTTGGAAATACAATTTAACACTTTCGGACTAAAACAAAAGTAGAAAGGCGCTAATAGATAGTCAAAATCCCCACTTATCAGGGATCATCCAGGAAACCAAGTTTTATGTGATCGAAGGGGACATGAGGTACAACGCCCTGTTCGGGAGGCCATGGATCCACAACACGAGGGCAGTGCCACTACTGGAAAACAGGTCTATGGCATTGGTCAAAAAACCGTTACAAAAGATATGAAAACCGTTGCCATAGATTTATTGGAACGGTACAGCAACCGTTCCACCAGGTCGCGTGCCAATAGAGCAAGAGGAACGGTTCTGGGAACGGTTCACCATATCGTTGCTATAGTACTAGCTATCGCAACGGTTCTTCCTCTATCTGAAGCAACGAGTATTCTTTTCTACTGCAACGGTTAAAAACCGTAGCCATATATTTAATGCAACGGTTTAAATCTGTTACCATAATTTTACTGCAACGGTTGAAAACATCTTAATGCAACGTCTGGAACTTCCTAATGCAATGGTTTATCGTTCGATTTTAGAACGATTTGCAGGACATCAGGACATGTTGGAATGGTTTACATTGTCTATACAAATTGTATTGGTGTCCTATTGCAACGGTTCTAGTAGGCTATTGTAACAATTTATTTGGCACAATAATATAGCCCTGGCTTTAAATAAATAATCACACGCAAAATATTTTTTAATAAACTGAAATTCATATAAATCATAAAATAAAAATATTCATAATCCATATTGTCCAATAAGCTAATAATATCCATAAAAGCAAAATGTTCTAATTAACCCAAGCGCATAAGTTCTAAAGTTCAAGACTTCAAGAGTTAGAGTAAGTTTCAAATGTTGATAACAAAAAATTCCTAAACATCTACAACAATTCAAAATTCTTTAAGTAAGGTCTAGATCTTCAGTGTCTCCATCTCCGTTTTCTTCATTTGCTCCACCTACAAAAGAAAGATAAATAAAGTTAGTACCCTTCAAGGAATGGTTTTATAAAAGTGGGTATGGTCCATGAAAAACTCAAGCATAAAGCATTTTGAAAAGATACAAGTTGATACAAATGAGGAAGCCAAAATTCAATAGCAAAACCAGACTTCTAATTTATGCATTCCGCCACAACCACTAAAAGCAACTAAAGAAAGCCGAAAAAACTGAATAAATAAGTCTATAAGCATATTCTGGAAACAAGGAGGAAAAAAATTCTATTGTTGTCATGAATGCAAGGACGAAAGAAAGAAACTTATGTTAACAGGTATGTTCAACATACATGTAGCCATTTTCTTGCATTCACTTTATTAGAAAAGATAAAGGATAATATAGGCTCCAAGGAAACATGACCAACATAAAGGACTGATCTATGTACTAATTTGCTTTTGAAAGTGATGTATGTTTTCAAGGATCTACAAAGAACCACTGGAAATAAATTATCCATTGCATCACCTAATCACCTCATGTGGTGGAGGATCCAAAGATGAATACGTGAACGGAGAAAACATAGAGCTACCAATTTCTGTATTGCACTGACAATATTTAATAGAAAATCAAGGGAAAAGCAACTAGAACACCCCTGTTTCTGTATTGCGCTGGCAGTTACAATATTCATCACCTAGAAGCAAATTCATTAATACTTTCATAGCAATTATTCTCCAAGAATATCAAGATATAATAATTCACCAACATCTCCTCCAATTAACCCCACCATCACAATACAGAAAACTTCAAAGGGTGTACACTTGATAATCCCAATTTCCAAATCAGAAATCAAATTATTTTGAAGGAAACCGAAGTGAAAATGAAAAAAGGCCCAATATAGTTCAGTATCTTTGGACTTTGACTCAAAATAACATTGTTTCTTTCACATTGAGCACTAATAGTTTTTTAACAAAAAGAACCTTACATGGCATCTCATAATTATTAACAAGCAAGACAAGCGGAAGAGCACGAAACTCAAGAATGCAACAATCGATCTGTTGCACCACTTTATTAAAAAATTATACAACAACAAAGAGCCACCACGGCAACAGAAAAAGAATATTCATCACAATAATAAAGTCGACAATTCAACCACAGAATTACAATGCGACAAAGGGCCGGAAGCAGGATAAAAAAATGAGTAGACTAATCAAACTTCACCAGCTGAAGAAGAACTGACCTTGATTGTTACTCCCAGTAGATAGACCATTGATTACTGCCATCTTCACTTTCTTGTCTGGATTGGTGTAGTACTTGGATTGGTGTAGCAGACTGGTGATAAATTTTAACTTTTGTCTATGCTCTTCAGCTCTTTCTATTCAAAAATGGTGAGGAACTCCCCTATAAAGTCAGCGAAAACATAGGAGACACGAATAACAGAAAGAAGAAGACCACAAAATCAGCAAAATGTACCAGCAGATCCAGTCGAGGCCAAAGAGTATTTGGATTTCATATAAACTGTGAGAAAATTGCATCATAAAATGACTTTGCATCATAAAGGATGAGGAACACTCCTCCACCATACTTTTCCTGAAGTTATTGACCTGCATTTTCTAGGCCAATGCTATTGGATATTTCACTATCATAAAATGACTTTGCGAACACTGCTGTGACAAATAGATTGATAATGAATTATCTAGCGCTTGCACTTTATCTAGATTTTCCCTAACAAGATGATTTATAATTAAATGAAAATCGGACATTTTCAGCAAATCATCAAAAGATATTCAGTTTTACCTTGTAGGCATCAGAATTCCAATATTTATAAAGTTCCCTAAATTGAGACTCCGGAACATCAATCGGCCTTTTCTCCATTAGAAGCTTGTCACTTTCATAGGGTCTAAAATGTTCCTCATATAACTTATTCTTTCTCCAAGCATTCTGAATTGATACAAGAACCCATACTTTCGCAGCTTCAGGAATGTCATATTTTTCCTACAATTTGGTGCAGTTAGGTTAGTGTAAAAAATATGAAATATCATCCACGCCTAATGAATATTGGGAACATCAAACCTTGACGTATTTCCACATATGTTCTTCTGTTGCAAGTTTCCTCCAATTAAACACATTAAGAGGACAAAATGTCGCACTCCTTGCCAATGTGCCGAGGAAGCTACCCAACTCTGTTACAACTTTGTCAGTAGGACCTATGGTTGATTCATCTCATTTAACACAACTTGTTTACATTCTTTACTTCCATGCACGCCTAGCATATGAGTTTTGCCTCTTTTTGTTTTTTCGGCAAAAGGACCTGCAATAATATAAAGCAAGGATAATCACCAAAAGTCACTATTGTTAGTTACTTTGACGACTGAAATTTTATACTCTTGCCTTGTTCCTCAGATTGTTCGTTTGTTTCATGATGGGTAGAATCCCCAAATTGTTCCTGTACCGTTTGTGAAGTACGAGTGGTAGAATCCAGTGACAGTTGCTGCAAATTTTCACGCACTGCTTGTGATGCAAGAGAGGTAGAGTGTGGTGGCAGTTGATGTGCCTCCTCATGTACTGTTTGTGTTGGAGGAGAAGTAGAACGCATAGGCTGTTGCAACAACTGTTCTTGCACTTGAGCTCCTTTGTGGAAGCTGTTTGTCAACTAGATTTAGCTGATGCTTGTGGAACCTTGAACAATATTTTTTTATTTCAACGACGAAACCTTTTGGTTTCGCAAAGATGCAAGTGATCCAGCCGCAATGCAGTTTTTAACTTTTTTATTTTTACTTGAGTGCGCTTCCTGATTCATGACTATTTAAATTCCCGTTAAGTTCAGAAAATGAGTAAAAGATAGGTTAGTAAAGCTTTAACAGGAAGACCAAATATATATAAACTAACAGAACTATTCCAAATAGAAAGTAAATTTTCAAAAAGTAAATGCTGCCTCATATTCTAACTACAGTTCTACAAGCTACAGCTCAATAGCAGCTCTAATGTATACATCAAACATGGAAGAAACTAATTCTACTAGCTCTACAAACTACAACTCAATAGTATAATTTTGCTATTATTAAATTACAACTCAATCTGCTTACTGCTCTTTACTCGGATCGGAATCCAAGATTTATTACCAAAATACTTGTTGCCTTTAGCCACAGAAGCTCAAAGGGCTCTATTTATATCCAAATTTACAGCTTCTAATGAACACTCACAAATAGACCTCTCTTTGAATTCTACTGTTTCAATTTATTTGCTCCCCAATTTCATCCCAACAAATCAAATCAACAACGGCCAAGATTAAACTAATTTTGCTATAGGTATAAAAACAAACTTAGACCCAAACTACCCAGCTTAATAGCTCATGCAACAGGAAATTCAGTGTAACTTTCCAGAGAAATTTAGTTCAGATAAGAATTCACAATAGTTATCGAAAGAAATTTTGACCCACGTTAGCAATACCCAAATAAAAATTAAACCCAAGTAATTTGGGTTCAAAACGTCAACAGAAAGCAAGAAATCATATACACTGCTCACAATAAAGCTTAAAGAAAAAAAAGAATGATTAAAGAAGATAAGGCCGAAAGTGGAAAATAAAAATTACCTGAAGTTGATTTCTCACTGATTTCCTTTTGGGTAAAAAATTTCTCGCGATTGAAATATTTTTTTCACCTGTAATCGCTGCCTTTAAATTATTCCTCTGTTCTTCATCTCATTCAAGTAAAAAAAATGGATTTTGGGTCTTCGGGGATTTTGGGACTTTGGGAATTTGGGAGTTTTGGGTTAGCAATCGATTTGGGTACTTGGGAATTTAGGGTTAGCCACTAAAAAGATATGAGGATTTTTCAAAGTAAAATGGGTATTTGAGAGCTTTGGAGGTGTCGACAGTAATGTGAGTTTTGTGGGGGAGATAGATGGACTCTTTACTTATTATATTTACATTAATAAAATATATAAGAAATAAAAGGAATAGGGGTTATGTTGGCGGCTTTAGCAAAATTCAGGGGGGAAAACGAGGAGGGAACAAATATCCGTTCCGATATTAAATTTTTTTCTAAAAACGTTACTATAAATAGATCTATTGGAACGGTTTATAAATCCGTTCCTATAAAATAGCCTATGGTAACGGTTAAGTGTCAATTGGAACGATTTGGTATCTAAAGTGTGCTGGTTTCATCCAAATGCTATTGTAACGGTTATAACCGTTACAGTACCTATTCTATCGCTACGGTTTTATAACTGTTGCCATAGGCCTATTTTCCGGTAGTGTGCCCTCGACTCTTCACCAAGTATTAAAATTCCCAACACCAAGAGGGATTAAAACGATCTACGGGGAGCAACCGGCCGCATAGGAAATGTTTGCAGTCGAAGAAGTGATTTCGGTATCAACACTGGCAACATCAAAAGAATCGAGTCCGGATACAAAGCAGAAAGCTAAATTGCAATTATCGACACCAGCCACAACCTAATCGAATAAACAGGGGACCGATGAAGATGATGATTACGGAGTTCCCAGATCTTTTATAGTCCCTGATGATTCCGATGCTAAAATATCGACGGTTGAAGAGCTGGAACAGGTCATATTGATCGAACATCTACCCGATCGGAAGGTATACCTGGAAACGAGGTTAACCCCCGAGCTCAGGAAAAAACTCATTCAATTTCTTTTAGCTAATGTAGATTGTTTTGTTTGGTCCCATCTTGATATGGCAGGAATCCCGTCGGAGATTACCACTCACAAGCTAAGCCTGAACCCAAAATTCCACCCGGTCAAACAAAAGAGGAGACCCCAGTCTGAGATCAAACATACTTTCATCAAGGACGAGGTAACTAAACTCCTTAAAATAGGGTCCATTCGAGAAGTTAAATACCCGGAATGGTTAGCAAACGTAGTGGCAGTCCCTAAAAAAGGGAACAAGCTGAGAATATTTGTAGATTATAAGGATTTAAATGAGGTATGCCCAAGGACTCTTTCCCTTTGCCCAACATCGATCGCATGATCGATGCTATGGGTGGCCTCGAGATCCTCAGTTTTCTCGATGCCTACTCCGGGTACAACAAAATATGGATGAACCCGGATGATCAGGAAAAAACCTCCTTCATCACTAAGTATTGCAAATACTGCTATAACGTGATGCCATTTGGGTTAAAAACCGCCGGTGCCATTTACTAACTCCTAGTAAACCGGATGTTCGAAGAACAAACAGGGAAATCCATGGAAGTTTACATTGACGATATGTTGGTTAAGTCCCTGCGAGCAGAGGACCATTTAAAACATTTGCAGGAAACCTTTAGTATATTGAAGAAATACAACATGAAGCTTAATCCGGAGAATTGTGCATTCGGAGTTGGATCAGGTAAATTTCTCGGGTTCATGGTATCCAACCGAGGAATCGAGATCAACCCCGACAAGATCAAAGCTATCGAGGATATCACGGTAGTGGACAATGTGAAGGCCGTGCAAAGGCTAACCAGGCGCATTGCCGCCCTGGGCTATTCATCTCGAGGTCCTCCGACAAGAGCCGCCTACTTTCTCGTTGTTGAAAAAGAAAAACAACTTCTCATGGACCCCGGAATGCCCGCGAGCCTTAGAAGAACACAAGTGGTATCTATCGAGTTCACCATTGTTTCACACGCCAAGGCAAAACAAACACCTATACCTGTACTTCGCAGTTTCGGAGATAGCGGTAAATGGAGTCCTAGTTCGGGAAGAGCAAGGTACGCAATTTCCAATTTACTATGTTAGTAGGACCCTGGATCAGGCCGAAACTAGGTATCCTCACCTAGAAAAATTGGCGCTCGCTTTGCTAAGCGCCTCTAGGAAACTGAAACCATATTTTCAGTACCTTCCTATATGTGTTGTGATTACCTACCCATTGCGAAATACAATGCACAAAACCGAACCTTCGGGATGATTGGCTAAATGGGCCGTAGAAATCAGCGGGTATGATATTGAGTATTGACCCTGGACAACCATTAAATCTCAAATTTTAGCAGATTTTGTGGCTAACTTTATGCCGTCCTTAATACCCGACGTCGAAAGAGAGTTGTTGGTAAGCTCGGGGATGTCTTCGAGAATTTGGACCCTCTTTACGGATGGCGCTTCGAACGCAAAAGGGTTCGGACTTGGCATCGTATTGAAGCCACCCACAGGCAATGTAGTTAGACAATCTATTAGAACTGTGAAAGTGACTAACAACGAGGCCGAATATGAGGCCATGATTGCATGTCTCGAACTAGCCAAAAACTTAGGGGCGGAGGTGATGGTAGCTAAGTGCGAATCCCTTCTTGTGGTGAACCAAGTTAGTGGGATATTCGAAATCAGAGAAGAACAAATGAAAAGGTACCTAGATAAGTTGCAGGTAACATTACATCGGTTCAAAGAGTGGACTTTGCAGCACGTACCTCGAGATCAAAATAGCAAGGCGGATGCCCTTGTGAACTTAGGGTCGTCGGTCGAGGATGAAGAGCTCAACTCGGGGGCAATCGGACAGCTCATGAGGTTGGTAGTGGAAGAAGGTCATGGGGAAATAAAGTCTACAAGCTTGACTTGGGATCGGAGAAACAAGTATGTAGAATATATTAAGACCGGGAAACTGCCCTCAAATCCAAAAGAATCGAGGACCCTGCGCCCAATGGCAACCCGATTCAGCTTGTCCGAATACGGAACCTTGTTAAGAAGAATGTTCGATGGCCCACTAGCAATATGTCTGGGACCAGGAGATACCGAGTACGTTCTGATGGAAGTCGGCACCTGAGGAAATCATTCAGGCGCCGAATCATTCGTTCGAAAGGTAATCAGAGCCAGCTATTATTGGATCGATATGGAAAAAGACGCGAAGGAGTTCGTACGAAAATGTGATGTATGCCAAATACATGCTCCGATAATTCACCAACCTAGGGAGCTGCTGCATTCGGTCTTGTCCCCATGGCCATTCTTGAAGTGGGGAATGGACATCATTGGCCCTCTTCCATGGGCACCCGGTAAGGCTAAAATTATATTGTTTATAATTAACTATTTTTCTAAGTAGGTTGAAGCCTAGGCATACGAGAAGGTCAGGGAGAAGGAAGTCATCGACTTCATTTGGCACCATATCATATGTCGGTTCGGAATGCCATCCGAAATTGTATGTGACAACGGAAAACAATTTATCGGCAGCAAAGTGACCAAATTTTTCGAAGACCATAAGATCAAAAGGATCATGTCAACGCCTTATCACCCTAGTGGGAACTGTCACAACCCTAAACCCGGACCCAGTCGTGATGGCACCTCTCGTGAAGACAAGGCCAGCCGACACACTCCCAATTCATCTCAAGGCAAT